AAAAAAAAAAAAGACAATCTAACAAATGTTGGCAAGGATGTAGAGAATCAGAAACCCTTATACATATGCTATGAATCTAAGGTGGTATAGCCACTTTGGAAAAGTTTGGCAGTTTCTTAGAAAGTTGACCATAAATTTGCCATACAACCCAGCAATGTCACTGCTAGGTATCTACCAAAAAGAAATGTGGCAAATGTTTACATAAACACTTGGACTCGAATATTCCTAACAGCATTATTCTTACTAGCTAAAAAGTAGAGACAACTCAGATGAACTGACAAATTAACAAACAAAATGTGAGGCTCGGCGCCTGTGGCTCAAGTGGCTAAGGCACCAGCCACATACACCCAAGGTGGCAGGTTCTAATCCAGCCCGGGCCTGCCAAAACAACAATGACGGCTGCAACCAAAAAATAGGGCGTTGTGGCGGGCGCCTGTTGTCCCAGCTACTTGGGAGGCTGAGGCAGGAGACTCGCTTGAGCCCAGGAGTTGGAGGTTCCTGTGAGCTGTGATGCCACGGCACTCTAGTCAGGGGGATAGCTTGAGGCTCTGTCTCAAAAAAAAAAAATGCGAATAAACTTTAGCAATAAAAAAGGAACAAAATGATAAATGATACAACATGGATAAAGCTCAAAAACATTATGCTAAGTGAAAGAAGTGATAAAAAAGACCAAATATTATATTTGTATATTGTATTCATACAACATAATGTAGGCATTTATACATTACCTACATACATCACGTTGGTGTGGCTCAGAGCCCCCACCCTACATTACATAGTTATGACCTGACTAATCCAAAGCTCCCAAGCAAGCAGAAATGCTGCTGTCAGGCATGACACCCCAAGGGTTTAGAGATTACATCTCCAGAATCTGAGGTCAAAGGCCAGATCTTCTTTTTGGCTAAGGTTAAAATTTTTGCTACATAGGACACCTCTGGCCTTTGGCTAAGGTTCATTCATAGCAAAATGATCCTATTTTTCTGGGCATCTACTTGTAGTATAGTATTTATATGATGGACAATAATAATAAAAAACTAATCCATCTTACAAAGCCATTATGTACATTTTATATTTGTGTACTAATTTGATTCGTCTTCCCCTTTGATCTCCCTCTATTTGCACCTTATGATAACCTTGTGCTGAACTACTTAGTATAGAAATTAGTTGATGGTTGGCTAAATCCAGTTCTTCCTTAAGCCAGTCATTTTCCATTAATATTATATCTTGAGAAGGCTTTCAATCAATTTCCCAATATATCTGACCACCAACATAAAATATTATATTCTTTTTTTTTTTTT